CCCCCTTCCCCACCCCACCACCCCAATTTCACCACCACCACCCCAAATCCACCACCACCACCCCCAATTCCACCACCACCACCCCCAAATCCACCACCACCACCATGTCGGGGGAGGAGGAGTTCTACCTCTTCAAGAACGAGTCCTCGGTGGGGCCTTGGGATGGCCCCCAATATCACATCGCCCCCATGTGGGCCTTCTACCTCCAGACCGTCTTCATGGGCTTCGTCTTCCTGGTGGGGACCCCCCTCAACGCCATCGTCTTGGTGGTCACCGTCAAGTACAAGAAGCTGAGGCAACCCCTCAACTACATCCTGGTCAACATCTCCTTCAGCGGCTTCATCGCCTGCATCTTCAGCGTCTTCACCGTCTTCGTCTCCAGCTCCCAGGGTTACTTCGTCTTCGGCAAGAACATGTGCGCCTTGGAGGGCTTCGTGGGGGCCACCGGAGGTAGGTGGTGGGGTCACCACCGTGGTGGGGTGGGGCTAGGAGGAGTTGGGGGTGACCAGCGTGGTCTGGTGGGGCTGTAAGAATTGAGGTGACCACCGTGGTGTGGTGGGGCTAGGAGGAGGTGGGGTGGCCACCATGGTTTTGTGGGGTTGTAGTGGTTGGGGTGACCAACCATGGTCTGGTGGAGCTGTAAGAATTGAGGTGACCACCGTGGTGTGGTGGGGCTAGGAGGAGGTGGGGTGGCCACCATGGTTTTGTGGGGTTGTAGGAGTTGGGGATGACCACCATGGTGTGGTGGGGCTGTAGGAGTTGGGGGTGACCACCGTGGTCTGGTGGGGCTGTAGAGAGGCGTGACCACCATGATTTGGTCAGACCGTAGGAGTTGGGGGTGACCACCATGGTGTGGTGGGGTTGTAGGAGTTGGGGATGACCATCATGGTCGGGTGGGGGTTGTAAGAATTGAGGTGACCACCGTGGTGTGGTGGGGCTAGGAGGAGGTGGGGTGGCCACCATGGTTTTGTGGGGTTGTAGGAGTTGGGGTGACCAACCATGGTCTGGCGGGGCTATAGGTGGGGTGACCACCATGGTTTTGTGGGGTTATAGGAGTTGGGGTTGACCCCCGTGTGGTGGGGCTGTAGAGAGGGGTGACCACCATGGTTTGGTAGGACTGTAGAAGTTGGGGGTGACCACCATGGTGTGGTGGGGCTGTAGAGAGGCGTGACCACCATGATTTGGTAGGACCGTAGGAGTTGGGGGTGACCACCATGGTGTGGTGGGGTTGTAGGAGTTGGGGATGACCACCATGGTCTGGTGGGGCTGGTGGGAGTTGGGGGTGACCACCATGGACTGGTGGGGCTAGTAAGAGTTGGGGTTGACCACCATGGTTTTGTGGGGTTGTAGGAGTTGGGGATGACCACCATGGTCTGGTGGGGCTGGTGGGAGTTGGGGATGACCATCATGGTCGGGTTGGGCTATATGAATTGAGGTGACCACCATGGTGTGGTGGGGCTAGGAGGTGTTGGGGTGACCACCATGGTTTTGTGGGGTTGTAGGGAGTTGGGGATGACCACCATGGTCTGGTGGGGCTGTAGGTGGGGTGACCACCATGGTCTGGTGGGGTTAGGAGGAGTTGGGGGTGACCACCGTGGTCGGGTGGGGCTATAAGAATTGAGGTGACCACCGCAGTGTGGTGGGGCTAGGAGGAGTTGGGGTGACCACCATGGTTTTGTGGGGTTGTAGGAGTTGAAGATGACCATCATGGACCGGTGGGGCTGTAGGAGTTGGGGATGACCACCGTGGTGTGGTGGGGCTAGTAGGAGTTGGGGATGACCATCATCGACTGGTGGGGCTGTAGAGAGGGGTGACCACCATGGTTTGGTGGGGTTGTAGGAGCTGGGGATGACCATCATCGGCCAGTGTGGCTGTAGGAGTTGGGGTTGACCACCATGGTGTGGTGGGACTGTAGTGGTTGGGATTGACCACCATGGTCTGGTGGGGCTGTAAAGAGGGGTGACCACCCATGGTTGGGTGGAGCTGTAAGAATTGACGGTGTGGTGGGGCTGTAGAGAGGCGTGACCACCATGATTTGGTAGGACCGTAGGAGTTGGGGGTGACCACCATGGTGTGGTGGGGTTGTAGGAGTTGGGGATGACCACCATGGTCTGGTGGGGCTGGTGGGAGTTGGGGGTGACCACCATGGACTGGTGGGGCTAGTAAGAGTTGGGGTTGACCACCATGGTTTTGTGGGGTTGTAGGAGTTGGGGATGACCACCATGGTCTGGTGGGGCTGGTGGGGGTTGGGGATGACCATCATGGTCGGGTTGGGCTATATGAATTGAGGTGACCACCATGGTGTGGTGGGGCTAGGAGGTGTTGGGGTGACCACCATGGTTTTGTGGGGTTGTAGGGAGTTGGGGATGACCACCATGGTCTGGTGGGGCTGTAGGTGGGGTGACCACCATGGTCTGGTGGGGTTAGGAGGAGTTGGGGGTGACCACCGTGGTCGGGTGGGGCTATAAGAATTGAGGTGACCACCGCAGTGTGGTGGGGCTAGGAGGAGTTGGGGTGACCACCATGGTTTTGTGGGGTTGTAGGAGTTGAAGATGACCATCATGGACCGGTGGGGCTGTAGGAGTTGGGGATGACCACCGTGGTGTGGTGGGGCTAGTAGGAGTTGGGGATGACCATCATCGACTGGTGGGGCTGTAGAGAGGGGTGACCACCATGGTGTGGTGGGGTTGTAGGAGCTGGGGATGACCATCATCGGCCAGTGTGGCTGTAGGAGTTGGGGTTGACCACCATGGTGTGGTGGGACTGTAGTGGTTGGGATTGACCACCATGGTCTGGTGGGGCTGTAAAGAGGGGTGACCACCCATGGTTGGGTGGAGCTGTAAGAATTGACGTAACCATCAAGGTTTGGTAGGGCTGTAGGAGTTGGGGTTGACCACTGTGGTTTGGTGGGGCTGTAGAGAGGGATGACCACCGTGGTTTGGTGGGGCTAGTAGGAGTTGGGGTTGACCCCCATGTGGTGGGGCTGTAGAGAGGGGTGACCACAATGGTGTGGTAGGACTGTAGGAGTTGGGGGTGACCACCATGGTGTGGTGGGGCTGTAGAGAGCGGTGACCACCATGGTGTGGTGGAGTTGTAGGAGTTGGGGATGACCATCATCGACCGGTGGGGCTGTAGGCGTTGGGGTGACCACCATGGACTGGTGGGGTTAGTAAGAGTTGGGGTGACCACCAAGGTTTGGTGGAGCTGGAGGAGTTGGGGGTGACCACCATAGTAGAGGTGACCACCGTGGTCTGGTGGGGTGAGTTGAGGTGACTACCATGATAGCCGTGACCACCGTGGACTGGTGGGGCTGTAGGAGTTGAGGTGACCATCACGGTAGGGGTGACCACCATGGTCTGGTGGGACGAATTGAGGTGACCACCACGATATGGGTGACCACCATGCTTTGGTGAGGCCGTAGGAGTTGAGGTGCCCACCATGGCTTGGTGGAGCCTCAGAAATGGGGGTGACCACCACAGCCTGGTGTGACCATGGGGGTGGGTGGGCCGTGGGGTGATGTCCCAGAGGTGTGAGTGTGTCCCCTTGACCCCCACCAGGGCTGGTGACGGGGTGGTCCTTGGCCTTCCTGGCTTTCGAGCGCTACATCGTCATCTGCAAACCCTTCGGCAACTTCCGCTTCAACTCCAAACACGCCATCATGGTGGTGGCGGCCACCTGGGTCATCGGCCTCGGCGTGGCCATCCCCCCCTTCTTCGGCTGGAGCAGGTTGGGGGGCAGGGGACATCTCTGGGGGTGGGGGTTATGGGGGTGCCAGGAGGGTGCTGGGCCACTGGGGTGACATTGGGGGTGCCATGGGGTGTGGAGAAACCCAGGAGGGCCATGGGGTGGCATGGGGGTGACATTGGGGTGCCATGGGGTGTGCCATGGGGTGCCATGGGGCATGGAGAAGGCCAGGAGTGCCATGGGGGTGACAATGGGGGTGACATTGGGGTGCCATGGGGTGCCATGGGGGTGCCATGGGGGTGCCATGGGGCATGGAGAAGCCCAGGAGTGCTATAGGGTGACATGGGGGTGCCATGAGGTGCCATGGGGTGCCACAGGTTGCCATGGGGGTGCCATGGGATTCCATGGGGTGCCGTGGGGTGCCATGGGGTTCCATGGGGGTGCCATGGGGACACCACGGGTGTGCCACAGGGTGTGGAGCAGGTTGGCAGTGCCATGGGGTGCCATGGGGTGCCACAGGTTGCCATGGAGTTCCATGGGGTGCCATGGGGTGCCATAGGGTGCCATGGGGTGCCATGGGGTGCCATGGGGTGCCATGGGGTGCTATGGGGTGCCGTGGGGTGCCGTGGGGTGCCGTGGGGCGGGCGGTGAAGAGTCCTGCCCCACAGGTATGTGCCCGAGGGGCTGCAGTGCTCCTGCGGCCCCGACTGGTACACGGTGGGCACCAAGTACAAGAGCGAGTACTACACCTGGTTCCTCTTCATCTTCTGCTTCATCGTGCCCCTCTCCCTCATCATCTTCTCCTACTCCCAGCTCCTCAGCGCCCTCCGGGCCGTGAGTGTGTCCCCCTGTCCCCCCCCTCCCCCGGGGCACCCGGCCCTGCACACGCGTGTGCAAGGACTGCGGGTGGTGGGAGGGAGGGAGGGATGAGGAGATGGGGAGATGGATGGATGGAGGGATGGAGGGATGGATGGATGGATGGATGGATGGATGGATGGATGGATGGATGGATGGGGAGATGGATGGAGGGATGGATGGATGGAGGGAAGGAGAGAAGGATGGAGAGATGGATGGGGAGATGGATGGATGGATGGAGGGATGGATGGATGGAGAGATGGATGGATGGATGGATGGAGGGATGGATGGAGGGATGGATGGACAGATGGAGGGATGGAGGGATGGATGGACAGATGGATGATGGAGGGATGGATGGATGGATGGATGGATGGATGGATGGATGGATGGAGATGGGGCAGGGGAAGGAGCAGCGGGGAAGGGGCTGCCCG